ATAAACCCTGAATTACAAGCATTGCATGGCTTTATACAAAATTAGGAGATTTTCTAAACCAACTAAAAAAAAAAAAAAATACTACAATATCTTTGACTTCCAAAATCATATTACGACCAAATAAGAAATATAAATAAAATATAATTAAATAACTTGACCCACAAAACAACTTATGGGCGACCTCTACAACCCATGTCAGTAAATATAAAATTACCAAAATACCCCTGATTTAAAAATTCAAGAAAAATATAAAATAATCATAAAATAAGACTCTAATAATATTAGAAACATAATTATGAATGGCTCTTATCAGTTTTTCTTTTAAAGCATGTCAATTTTTAAATATTGTCACTTCTTTAAATTTACTCTTTTTTGAGTTTCTTATACTCTACATCAATTGCGTGCATGCTTGAGACAAACTAAAAACATAAAAGAGAGGGGGAGGGGGGGATAATGTTACATAGTTGTTGAGTCGACAAACATCTGCAAGTCCAATCAGACCTCAAGTACCTAGGAGAAGAGAAAAACTAATTAAAATGTCAAAGAGTAAGATGAGAGATGATAAGCAATTAAAAGAAGACACAAATGTAGACATCTCACCTAATGACGGGGCACATAATACTCCAAATCAAATATAATTTTTTTTATTTTTTATTTGTTATTTTTTTATATTTTAATATGTGGATCCATCACTAAGCTCAATGTGTTGATCCACTATTATCAATTAAATTTAAATACTTGCAAATCACTTAGTGATAAGTATATCATTCAAGTCATGACAATTAACAAAAATCGAAACTCAAAATGTCCCAATTTACTAAGTTACCATGCAAATTATATACATTTCTCTGCAAAATTATGCAATTGATAAAACTAAACTAGTGTTTTGAATCTAGTTGATTACTTTATTCATTTCAAATTGTTCATCCATTTTCAATATTCTACACATCTAAAAAATCGTCAATATTTTTTAATTTATTAGTAATTTTTCATGATTTTGAAGACTTTATGTACAAGAATGAAATCTTTTAATTTATGATTTTTTTTTTACAAAATGAAAAATTATTTATTTCCCTAAAAAATAATCTGGCATCGGTTTAATCAAAATTATTTAAATAAATATTTTTTTTCTCAAAATACAATGAACCTAAATGACTCCAAATACTAGTAGAATAGAACTTCAGTTTTATTACATAGGTCATTGTGCTTGTTTGTTAAAACTTATAAGCTGCTTATTTTAGATTTTGGCTTAATTTAAGCTAGAATGTTCTGTTTGGTAAAAATTAAAGCACCAGATTATAGCTCAAAAAAAGCTATTTTGAGTTGAATTTTAGAAACTGCTCCGGAGATGCTTATAGATTACAGATTAAGCGCGCAGCTGTTTGGAGGGGCATGCAACGACTTAAATGCCCCTTCAAAACTTCAACAATTACGATTATGCCACTATATAAGCCCTCTTTCATTGCCCTAGTCCACGGAAGACGATCCTCCACATCTCTCTCTTTTCTCTCTCCCTCCATCGCTCTGTCTCTCTCTTGCTCTGTCTCTCTCTGCGCGACATCCATGGCGCCAGTCGATCTCAATGGCAATAGAAGCCTACATCCGTCGACAAACCCTACGGCCTCTAGGCCATGGAAGCCCCTCTCCGCGACGCCCAATGGCGATCCTCCTACGGCCTCTCCTACCCCATCTTCACCACCGTCGTCGACAAACTCAAACCCTAGCGCGATCAATCTCAAACCCTACATCCGTCGGTGACGATCTGAACCCTAGCGTGATCGATCTCTTCTCTCTCTCTGCTCTTGTCGTCGCCGGCGTTAGGGTTTTCTGGATCTAGGGTTTTTTGGATCATTTTTTTTGAGGTTTTCTGTGTTTTTTTATATAAAAAAATAATTGACGTTAATTAAGCCATTAATTGACAACTAATTAATTTATAATGAAAAAATAAAATAATTTTATACTAATTGATACTATTAATAATTTTAGTATTAATTTATGGTAATTAAACAATTAATTGACACCTAATTCATTTATAATGAAACAATGAACAAAATATACTAATTTATACTATTATTAATTCTAGTATTAATTTATGGTAATTAAGCCATTAATTGACACCTAATTCATTTATAATGAAAAAATGAACAAAATATACTAATTTATACTCTTCCAATCTTGCATAGCATTCAAGAATCCACCTACAAACATCACTCCATGGGTCAACATCAAAAATTGGCTCTCCGTCAGAAGCAGACAAAAACCAAAGAAGATAGAGATTCTCCTCAGATATCAGAAAAAATGCACGCCAAGAAAAGACAAAAAAAAAAGATTTTTTTAGATATTTTGTGAGTCTGTCAAGTAATAAAGATTTTCCTTCAATCACTACTTTAATAAAGTAGATATCTCTTATCCTACTTTATTAGAGAAAAGCTGTGAAAATCTTTATACGTGTCTTGTAATAAATTATAGTGTCAAAATTTTGTCAAAAAAGAAGGATTGAATGATATGCGATGGGGCCCAGAGTAGTACCCGATATCATTATCCTAATCTTTTATTGATAAAATTTATCTATAAATAAATAAAAGAAACAAGGAAAAAAAATTATTAATATTAATTGATACTAATTAATAATTTTAGTATTAATTGAGACTAATTAAGCCATTATATTTTTATCAAATGTATCAATTTTTATACAAATTGATACTAATTAATACTAATTATGTTAATTGAAAAAAAAAATGACAAAATTATCATTTTTATATCATATAAAGGTAAGAAGGACAATTATAGAAAAAAAAACTGTTTTACAGCTTACCAACTAAACGCTACTCTTCTGCTTAAATCTATAATCCTACAGCTACACCAAACAGATTAACAACTTATATTCACAGTTATAATTTATAATCCACTTTCTTATAACTCTACCAAACGGGCCATTAAGCCAACCCAACCCAAATGTATGCGTCTGTGAAAGTCATGTGTTAGGCGTCTCACTCCAACCCCTCTTCGCTTTCTCTCCACAAACACCTCCAAAACTCCAAACGAATTCACCAACCTCTGCTCCAAAGGCCGCCTCAAAGAAGCATTTGAATCGTTCACATCAGAGATTTGGTCCGACCCATCTCTCTTCTCTCACTTCCTCCAACAATGCATTCATACCTAATCTCTCTCACTCCTCAAACACCTCCATTCTCTGATCATCACATCTGGGTCTTCCTCAGAAAAGTTCGTAGCCAACCACCTACTCAACGCCTATGCCAAAATTGGAGAACTTTCAACCGCCGTTACACTATTCGACGTAATGCCCAGGAAGAACATCATGTCTTGCAACATTTTGATTGGTGGGTTCATTCAAAATGGTGATTTAGAGAGTGCACGTCAGGTGTTTGATGAAATGCCGAAACGAAATGTTGCGACGTGGAATGCGATGGTTGCGGGTATGACCCAGTTTGAGTTTAACGAGGAGGGGTTGAGTTTGTTTTCCCAAATGCATGGTTTGGGGTTTATGTTGGATGAGTTCACTCTGGGTAGTGTTCTTTGAGGTTGTGCGGGTTTGAAAGATTTGAATGCGGGCTGGCAGGTTCACGGGTATGTGGTGAAATGTGGGTTTGAGTTCAATTTAGTTGTTGGGAGTTCTTTGGCTCACATGTTCATGAAGTCTGGAAGTTTGGGAGAAGGAGAGAGAGTGATCAAAGCAATGCCAATTCGCAATGTGGTTGCTTGCAACACGCTTATTGCGGGTAGAGCTCAAAATGGGTTCTCTGAGGGTGGTTTGGATCAGTATAATATGATGAAAATGGCAGGTTTTAGGCCTGACAAGATTACGTTTGTGAGTGTAATCAGTTCATGTTCGGAGTTAGCAACACTTGGACAAGGCCAACAGATTCATGCGGAGGCAATAAAAACTGGTGCAAGTACTGTTGTTGGTGTTATTAGTTCACTGATTAGTATGTACTCTAGATGTGGGTGTTTGGATGAAACTGTAAAAGCTTTCTTGGAAAGGGAAGAAGCCAATGTGGTCTTGTGGAGTTCAATGATTGCTGCATATGGGTTCCATGGGAAGGAAGAGGAAGCCATCGAGCTGTTTAATCGGATGGATCAAGTAGGGTTGGATGCAAACGACGTTACTTTTTTAAGCTTGCTTTATGCTTGTAGTCATTGTGGATTGAAAGATAAAGGACTTCAATTCTTTAATTTGATGATAGAAAAGTACGGATTGGAGCCTCGGCTAGAACATTATACATGTGTGGTTGATCTGCTTGGGCGGTCTGGCTGTTTGGAGGAGGCAGAAGGTTTTATAAGAACTATGCCTGCAAAGAAAGATGCTATTATATGGAAGACTTTATTATCTGCCTGTAAAATCCATAAAAATGCAGATATTGCTAAAAGGATTGCTGAAGAAGTTCTTAGGCTTGATCCTCAGGATTCGGCTCCTTATGTGCTGCTGTCGAATATTCAAGCCTCTGCTAAAAGATGGCAGGATGTTTCAGAAGTGAGGAAAGTGATGAGGGATAGGAGGGTGAAGAAGGAGCCAGGTATCAGCTGGTTTGAGGTGAAGAACCAGGTTCACCAGTTTTGTATGTGTGACAAATCCCATCCACAATCAATGGAGATTGATATGTACTTGAAAGAACTGACTTGGGAAATGAAACTGCAGGGTTACGTGCCTGACACCGGCTCTGTTTTACATGACATGGATACTGAGGAGAAGGAACACAACTTGGCACACCATAGCGAAAAGTTGGCAATTGCTTTTGCTCTGATGAAACACCCCAGAGGGTTTTCCAATCCGGGTGATGAAGAATTTGCGTGTCTGCAGTGATTGCCATGTTGCTATCAAGTACATATAGGAGATAGAAAACCGAGAAATTATTGTACGAGATGCTAGTAGGTTTCACCATTTCAAAGATGGGAAATGTTCTTGTGCTGATTACTGGTAGGGAGATTTTACACTGCTTTGGCTGTTTATGGCATCAATTCTTTGTTTTATGTTTTGAACAATGGGATTTTTCTCATTTATTCATGTAACATGATTTTAACTCATCTCATATATGGAAAGAGATGAATTTGTTTTTATACAGACTTGTTGGAAACTTTTTGTTAGTATTTTTCATGTGTTTTACAATAACAGAATAATTATTTTAGTTGCATCGACAACATTCCATTGTGTCAAAGGTGTGGTGTGATTCGGAAAATTTACTTAAAAAGGTACTAGCTAGTGGCCTTCTGAGCCATTCAATTAACAAAGTTTCATGATTGCATGCTACATTGCCATGGCAGTAAGAAAAGTTTGTAAGATTTATAAGTTTGTATTGTATTTTTTCTCTTGTTGTATGGTCCAGATGACATGAACTATTGATAGCTTCTGTTGACCATTAGTGCTCGGCCAAAAGTGTAATAGACTTGGAATTATCATTGGCCCCATATAGTTGATTCTCATTCTTTAGAGCCGAAGTCTAAAAATTTCAAGGACGGTTGAGCATTAAAATCTGATAGAAGTTTTGAGATTCAAATTTTCTTTAAATATTGGGATTGCAGTCAAAATTCTTAAAAGCAATAGAAAATAAAAAATCGAGGACTAAATTGGTTTTGAAAATTCTATCTTAAATACACTCAGATGCTTCACCAATTTACATTTAGCGGCGCATCTAAAACTTGTCTTGTGGGGAAGAAAAGGTCTCACCATCCCCTATCCTAAACTACTTGTCTTACCTTTAAATTTATCTTTTAAACTGATTGTTTAGATTTTGTATATTAACAAAATTCAAAATTAAGAAAACCTGTATTAGTTGAAAAATTGGGAAGTAAATCATATTTGAACTTCTCTTATTTAAAAACAGAATTTTTTGAATAGTTTCAATTCTAAAGACTTACATATTCATTAAATTGAGTGTTATTTTATTTCTATTTAATTTAATTTTTATTTTAGTTTTATTTTTTTGCATAATGGACAAATGGTGGGTGAGAAACTAAGAATTTGTTCCAAAAATACAAATATCACTACGTACATGGAATTAAACCATATAAAAGTACCAAGAATGTACACTTTAGCATGGTCGGGCCTATCAGAGGTATCCTTAGCCTTATTATTTTCTCCAGAGGTAAGCCCCATTGTGTATTATTTTTTATTTTTTTGTGGTTTAATTCGGTGTACATAGACTTATTCCATCCATCATTACACACTTGAATACGTATATACCTCTGTGTGTGCAGGCATGCTCATTTACCTGGAAGTTATGATACACATTGACATTCACATGGGCTCATTGGACAATCTCTGTCCACAGAACCTGTATAAAATTGCTTCACCTCCTTTATAAGACTTGACTTGTGATGACTTTTGTTCTCCCACCCCCAAGTTTACTCTGGTAACTCTTTATAAAGCTAGCAACAAAAGAGTGATAAAAGTAATTCATCAGAGATTATGGCTGGAATAATCATATTTTTGTTCTGCTCATTTGTTTTCAGTGTGTGTTTAGCTCAAAATATTCCCCAAACTTCTGTTGAGGCAGCTGGATCTTCTTCCTTACCGCCATCATTTGGTCCATGCTCTACCTCAATTCAAGTTTTCCCTCAATTTGGTACAACAATGATTCTAATGGTAGGAGTCTCGTCAGTGAAGACAGCTCAACAACCATGAGAGCAATCTTCTCAAGAAGGGAAGTGTTGAGTTTGTTTGTGGATTCTACTGCTTCGGCAGTTGCACCTATTACTTGTTCTCAGTTGCTATTGTTGGTGGAGGCAATCACAGTGTAGGTTGGTCAACAAATGTAGGCCATCCTGTGAAAGAAGGTGCGACGCTACAACTTACAGTAGATGGAGAATTAGCACTGCGAAATTCGGATGGAGACCACGTGTGGTCAACCAATACATTAGGCAAGTCTGTGGTGGGAATGAACATGACAGAATGGAAAAATTTGGTTCTATTCAACAATGAAAGAGCAATTGTTTGGCAGTCTTTTGATTACCCTACGAATACATTGCTTGTTGGGCAGCAGTTATATGAGGATCAAAAACTCATTTCAAGTTCCTCAAATTTATGGGCTCGTGGTTTGTACTTTGCCACACTGAAATTTGCTACAGATTGTGCTACATACATAGGAGGTAAGGTCAACCACAAATAAATTATCAGTTGGTGCCAGATCAAACCTCAACCACTAGCAGAAGACCATACCATGCAGAGCTTCAACTTAGAGGTTTCCTTGTGAATTTTGGTACATCTCAATCAATGTTTAAAATAAATCCCATCAATTTTCCTCCACTGTTAGCACTGCATATATAAAATTAGGTAGTGATGATGGGCATTTGAAGATATTCCATCACAGTAATGCCAATGGGTGGAGGGAGATTGTTGATATGATTACCCATGATTTAGGTGAATGTCAACATCCTAGCCACTGTGGTGAATATGGCTTATGCAGACAAGGCCAGTGTAGTTGTCCCATAGGCATTGATTGGGTTCGATATTTTGAGCAGCACAGAGCCAAAATGGAAAACATCAGCAATAGACTCAGCTTCAAATACCCTATATGGGTTGCACTAGGATTACTTCTTTGTCTTGCCCACCTCCCTTTGAGCAGAAGCATTATCTTGTTGAAGTTGGAAATGTAAGCTACTTCAACCTCATCGACGAAGATGCTGCATTTCCAAATATCAGGACATAGAGAGATGCAAAGAGATCTGTTTGCTAAATTGTTCCTGTGGTGCAGTCTTTTTCAGGTACAACAATAATGTTTCAGATGGGTATTGTTGTATCCCATCCACGGTATTGGCAATTAGAGAAGGGCAAATCCCAAACCGCAGTTTTGCATCTGCAACATTTGTCAAGGTCCAAATTCCCTATAAGGCAGCAAACGGACAAGTAAAGGCACTGTGCCTGACACTTCTCCACCTGCTTCACTTTCAAGAAATTGAAGAAATTTAAAAGCAATAATAGCATTGTCGTGTGCTGGTGCCCTTTTAATCTTTGTTGTTACAATTGTTACATGCTTTCCAAGCTGCTCAGAGGACGGGGAGGACTGTATGAAGCAAGATCCAGGAAGTCTAGTGAGGTTTTCATATGAACAGCATGTGTTGCAACAGAAGATTTTAAGGAGAGATTGGGAGGTGGAGCATTTGGAACTGTGTTCAAAGGGATGTTGGAAGATGGCACTCAGATTGCAGCGAAGCGTTTGGATAAATTGGGCCAAGGGATGAAGGAATTCTTTGCTGAAGTTGAGACACTTGGACACATACACCATGCTAATCTTGTGAGGTTGATTGGGTTTTGTGCAAAAAAAGCTTACAGGCTTCTAGTATACGAGTATATGACTAATGGCCCTTTGGATAGCTGGATTTTCTGGGATAACCAGAGACCTTGCCTCAATTGGCAAGCTTGGAAGAAGATTATACTTCACATAGAGAAAGGGCTGGCTTACCTGCATGAAGAATGCCGGCAGAGAATAATTCGTCTCGATATAAAGCCACAAAACATTCTCTTGGATGAAGATTTTAATGCCAAAAATCTCTGATTTTGGGTAATCCAAGTTGATAAACAGAGACGAAAGCCATGTTCTAACCACAATGAGAGGAACTCTTGGATATATTGCTCCAGAGTGGCGACAAGCAAGAGTCACCATCAAAACTGATATTTATAGCTTTGGAATTGTTCTTCTTGAGATAGTTAGTGGCCAGAGAAACTTTGACAGCACACAGTCAGAATCTAGAAAACATCTGCTTCAAGTGTTGCAGGAGAAGTCTGAGTATCAACTATATGGTGGAAAACATGGATGAAGGAGTCAAACAATATCATGCTGAGGAGGTGGTCAGGATGATAAAGATTGGAGCTTGGTGTTTGCAGAATGATCAGTCAAGAAGGCCTTCCATGTCTATTGTGGTTAAGGTTTTGGAGGGATTGATGGAGGTGGATACAAACGTCAACTACAACTTTACATATGCAACGGCATCTTCTTCGACAATCAACAGCCATGCTTCCACAGCACCACCAGCTTCAGTTCTTTCTAATCCTTGATGAAAGCAGAAATTAAGGTAACCAAGTAACTTATGTAAGTTGGACTAGATTACATGGTACTATTAGTCCATGATTAAATGTTCTTTGATTACCAATCCTTTAGGATTATATGTTCTATCCTACGTCTGGAATGCTCCTGGATTAAGAAGCGAGTAATAGAATCATATCATATCCCATGTTTATTTGAAATCACTAGACATGGATTACATGGTGTAATGACTATAGTTTGAGGATATTTTGATATTTTAACCACTAAATCTAGACCCCGTCAATCCCCCGTTTTTGTATACCACCATCCTTGAGGGACTCAATAGTCCCTCAAACTTGAAATTACATTTCCATTAATTCCATTATAAAAATATAAATAGCCAAAGTTCACTAACCACCATAGTTGTTTCAGGACGTTAATGGTTTGCAACTCTGAAGTCATGAGAACTGAGGTTCATTTATCTTGGAATAGAGGTTGACTGTATTATTCTTAAATTTATTTGTAATGTGAATCTAGTTGGCTTATTAATGGCTATAGAGGTCTATGTGGAGAAGTAATTGAATTGATGCTACTTGCTCCTACCGTTAACATAGCTAAGTTCCTTTACTCAAGAATCCTAGTTTGAGGGAAAGAAAACAAAAAACCAAAGAAAAAAATGAATGTGCATTTGATAATGAAAACCATCATGCTTGATAGAAACCATAGTTGATTTTTTATCACCTTCAGAATGTCAATGTTGGAGAATGTGATAATCTAGGTGAAGTATGGTAGAGTTAAGACCTTATGAAAGCTACAAGAAAAACTAAAGTTTGTTGGCCTAGTGTAGAATTGTGACAATTTCAATACTAAATGGAGGTATATTCTTCAGTTTCTAAGAAAGTGATAGGGTCATACCTACTCATGATCACACTGCAATTCTAGCTCTTCTTCCTCCACGAACCCATCAGTTCCAAGAAAATTGTTGTTGATCACATGCAACTGAGTAACAACATGATTAATGGCTGGTCAATCTCTTGGTAGTTCTTGTAAGCAAGCGATTCAAACGTTACGTATTGAAATCGAGTACTCATGATTTTTTTGATTGCTAGCAGAGCTCTGATTCCGAGTATTGTTGGTGCTTGAGCTTGCCTCCCCAATTTCTCTTCGTTGAAATAGTGTTAGATCAACAATGCTTGTTACTTGTTCAGGTAAAGCCATCTTAACACAGTTATGGAGACTCAGATTATCATTAAACATGTTATCAGTGGGTCTCTTGCCTATAAACATCTCCAATGTCATCACCTCATTTCCCGTACCATACTCTATAATTCATGTATACTACAAAGTAAATACAATTGTAATGATGCTTGGTCAGAATCATATAAACAAATAGTAATGTACCTTCTACAAATAATTCTTTTTAGAAAACAAGTTTAGAGAACGACAAACTTTACTGTTTAAAGTATGATAGGAAACAATATCTTGCCTCATGTTAGCTTATTGAAGTCAATAAACAGTCGCTTGAGCAGAGACAGAGAACCAAGCTCCACAGGAATTTTTCCGGCCAGCCTATTGCGATAACATTCATGAGCAACAAGGTTAGAGCAAGCAGATATATTGGCGGGAATTATTGCCTAGTTTCAATATTCGCAGTCTTCGTAGATGGCCGAGTTCAGGGGGGATTTGATGAGTGAAGCTATTGTTACTCAACCACAGTTCCCTAAGGAAGCTCAGATTTTCAACGTGAGGCAAAATGGAGCCTGTCAATATTCAGTCATCCTCTTGTGGCAACAGCCACATGTTACGCCAGCCCATTGACAGAAGTGGACAAATTCATTCCACAAATTCAAATAGATCTCCGGTTATTTGAGCCTTGAGTGTGAGCAATGCTAGCCGATCCGTCTCATTCCCGGCTACATGAACACGGTGAGTAGTAGAGCCTGAACCATCCAAACACACCATGGGAACAAAAACAAAAACATGCATGAACTGAAACAGAGTCCATGACATTGTGGAAACTAATATTAAACTCATCCGGGGAAATAGTGTTGTCTTCAATGTTCTAATCACTCCTTCATCTTCTTCTCTTTTCTTTTTTGTTTTCTTTTTTCTTTTTTTCTCTTAGGCTTAAAGGTTTCTCGATCAATCCCATCTCTCACTTTTTTTCTCTTAGGCTTAAAGGTTTCTCGATCAATCCCATCTCTCACTACATTTATTCGAGAACCCAACAATGAAGTCAATCAGTCCTGCAAAAAAAAAGTCATGATCATGGCGCACTTGCCATCAATCTATAGTTTAAATTCATTCTAGAACTCACACTACCAATTCAATCTCCACCACAATCTAAATCTCTTTTCTTTTACTTTTCAAATTTCTATCCAAATACATAATCCAAACATAGCCTTAAACTTTTTTATTAAATTTAAAATCAAATGAAATTTCATTTTACTCCCCAAACTATCATTTAAAAATTAATTTAATCCAAGTTTTTTAAATAATAATTTTATAATTAAACTATTAGATTTTATATTAAATGGAAGTTGCTAATATGACACCAAAATTCAATTTGAAACTTCACTTTACCCTTTGAACTATCCAAAAAAATATCAATTAGACCCCTAAGTATATTTAAAAAATTAATTTAAATTTACTCGCAAACTATCTTCTTCTTCTTTTTTGTTGTAAGGTAAATTTAAATTTAATCTCTACTTGCACAATCATCTTAGTTCCACCTCTACTTGCAGTTTAATTTTTTTTTTTAAATACTTGTGATGTTGTTACGTAGCTATAAATGTCCGATTAATCTATTTTTTTTAATGAATAATTTACTTGAAGAATCTTACAATTTAAACAATTTAAATCATCAAAATAATCTCAAGAAAAGCCCACACAAGACCGCGCAACACAACAAACTACTGTGCCTCGTAAGTACAACAACCACCTCTCTTCCCTAATGTTTTACCATCTTATTTGTTATTCTCAAACTTTATTCTCTACAATTAACGGAGTACATATCTTCTGTCTCACTTTTTCCCATCTTCTATTTCATACTTATTTACTACATCATTACATCAATATTTAAAAAATATAAGACACGGAATGGTAGATGATCTCATATCCAATAAAAGACCCTAAATGTCTTGAGTCAATATAACCAAAGCCCCCAAATCCACTATTGCCCATTCATGGTGATCCCACCCAACCCACTTAATTTGGGATTTTTCTAGAAGTTTACACAATTTGTATGCAAACATCAAAAAATTTACAGAATTTGTATTTAAAATGACAGGATTAATGTGACTTATCATTTTAAATTAAAAATGTCTATCAAAATAACATTTAGTTATACAAAAAATTGTCACTGCTATATCATTTTGTTAAAAAATTCTATATAATCATATCTATAATGAGCAAATGGAAGGAATTCCATTCCAACTGCTGACAAAGACAAATATATACTTAGATTAAAAATAATTAGAACTTGAACATATATATATATATATACAGGAACTACCAATATATATTTTAAAATGATTTTGAGACTTTAGACTTCAGAGGATGATTCTTGTAATTAACCTAATCGATTTCTCTAGTTTTTAAGTTAATAGATCTGTTGTTGGGTGTGACTTTTCTGGAAGCTGGAAGTTTTCATCCCAAATCCTAATAATAACAAGCAGTTTTTATTTCTATAATCTTTTAAACTTATAGTTATGTTTGATTATCAGATTAGGTTGACTAGGATAATGTATAGGATTACTAGTGTGGTGACATTAAACTGTAGATGTAAGATAATTGGTATTTGCTTGTGCACCAGTGTAATTGGTTTTGATTAAATTTATGCAATTACGTAAAAAACATTCATCATATAAAATGTAACTTTGTTGTTTTTGTCACCAAACCTTTTAATCCAAATGAACTGTAAGAAACCAAGGTAATGTCAGATTTACCATATCCTAAATATCAATGCACTTGAATGCAATTCTGTAAATATTTAATAAATTCAATAAATTTTGAAAAGGAAATCTAGGCTATTTGGCCCAAAGTATATAAACTTCAAACAAGTAGAGAGTTTAAAAAGGATACATCAACAGGTCCTGAAACTTGCAAATAGACAAGCTACTCTTACTAACTAAAAAAACAGACAACAAACAATCAAGTCTATAACAGCTTTAAAACAACAAAAATCATAAGAAAAACAAAATAAATATTCTTATTCCTAGCTAATTGAGTTTAGATAGTATTCTTCACATTTCTCTAATTATTTCAAGAAAACATAACATACAAACCATATCTTAGTTTATATCACACCACATATATATAGATTATAATAAGTTTTATAGTTACGTCATTGCAAGTCATATCAATAACTATGAACCTGTTTTTAGAGTAAATGACTGAATAGCCATTGCAAGTCATAGCCTTCTTAAAAAGTACATTTAAATGAGAAAAGTTGAATGTCTGCTTGAGACTAACATAAAATCATTAAAAAAAAAAATTAAAGAAAAGAAATTAAAGGATAGGATCATATATGTAACACGCGGCCAAATCAATAATTTGCAATATCACATAGTTGTGGCGTGGACAAATATCTTCAAGTCCAATCAGACCTCAAGATTGGCTAGAAGATATAATCTAATCCCATTATCTTATACCTCCGAACAAACACAACGAAGATTATTAGTTCTACAGCAACAACTTGTTTGGAACCATTGCAAGTCATATGAACCTATTTTACAGTATAGAATAGGATAGATAGCCATTGCAAGCCATAGCCTTCCTGAAGTACATTTAGATGAGAAAAGTGCATTCTTGAGACAAACTAAAAAATAAAAGAAGGAAGGAAAAAAAACAAAATGAAATTAAAGCATAGAATAATATAACATAGTTGCTGAGTCGACAAAGATCTTGAACTCCAATCAGATCTCAAGTACCTAGGAGAAGAGAAAAACCACTAAGTAAAACTTCAAACAATATGATGAGAAATGATAAACAATTAAAATAAGACACAAAAAGAAGCTGAAGCAAGTTGAAAATCAGTTTTTTTTTTTTTTTTGGTACCTTATTGAAAAAATGTATACAAATATGTTATTGTAAACCAATTACTCATAAGATCGTAAAAGGAAAAGAAAAAAACAACACTTGCCCTTATCTAGTGTCATGTTTCGAGCTTAATTGAATGCAAAATTCATGGAATACGTGTAACCCATAATACATGCAACAAAATGTCAGTTTGCCTTTTTTCTTTCTTTTTCGGCAACTAGTGCAATCTAAACAACGTTGCTCTCCTTAGGAACAGATAAGCCTCTAAGGCTTTGCATGGGATTAAAACAGAGTAGTTGCACAATACTCCATCAGCTGGTATATTTTTCAACCCTAGCCATATGCAAATTAAAAAACTTGAAGTAACATGTCGATCAATTCCGTTATGTGTATAGCCAAAGTGCACTAACCACCATAGTTGTGTCAAGACATTCAAATGCTTCCAGTTTCTAACCAATTTTGTTTTCTAGATTAAGTTGGAGGGGATTATAGGGGAAAGAACTTTGCAACTCTGAAGTCATGAGAGCTGAGGTTCCAGTAACGTGGAATAAGATTTTGGCAATAGAGGTTGATTAATATTGATTGATTTTTGCTTATGTATTATTCTTAGTCATATTTGTAATGTGAATCTAGTTGAATTATTTGCTCAAGTTTGCAGATGAACCGTAGTTTTGATGGAAAGAAAATAAAAAACAAAAGAAAAAAAGAATTTCCATTTGGTAATGAAACCATCATGCTTGACAGGAACCATAACTGATTTTTTGTCACCTTCAAAATGTCAATGTTTAAGAATGTGGTTATTTGGGTGAAGTATTGCATATCTAAGGTGTTATGATTTATATGCCACAAGACAAACTAAAGTTTGTCGGCCTAGTGTAGAATTGCCACAGTTTCAGTAATAAATGCAGGTATATTCTTCAGTTACTAAGAAAGTGACAGGGTCATACCTACTCATGCTCACACTGTAATTCTAGCTCTTCTTCCTCCATGAACTCCATCAGTTCCAAGAAGGTTGTTCTTGATCACAAGCAACTGAGTAACAACATGATTAATGGTTGGTCTATCTCTTGGTAGTTCTTGTGAACATGCGATTCCAATATTAAGTATTGAAATCAAGAACTCATAAGTTTTATGACTGCTAGTAGAGCTCTGACTCTGAGTGTTTTCGGTGCTTGAGCTTCCCTCTCCAATTTCTCTTTGTTGAATTACTGTTGGATCAACAACGCTTGCTACTTGCTCAGGTAAAGCCATCTAGCAAAGTTATGGAGACTTAGACTATCAGTAAACATGTTATCAATAGGTCTCTTCCCTGTAAACATTTCCAATAAGAGGATACCATAACTGTATACATCACCAGATGTCGTCACCGTATTTCCCATGCCATACTCTGCAATTGATGCATCATTCAAAGTAAATACAATTGTAAAGATGTTTTGTCAGAAGCATATCAAATAATAGTAATAGTAATTTACCTTCTACAAATAACTCTTTGTAGAAAACAAGTTTAGAGCATAAAAACTTTAATGCTTAAAGTAATATAGAACAGAATTATGTCTCTTCTTGGTGAGATAACAATATTTGGTTTGTCTGTTTGTGTCATGAGAAAGGCCCAACTTGAAACAAGTTTGATTGTTTCCCAGTGATATTTATGAAACCAAATAGTTGATGGTTCAATATCTTCCTAAAAAATAACCAGTTGAAGCTTGGGTGACAGTTTAACTTTATCCAATTAGGTTTGTATTCATCAAACTTATTAACATAAAAGAAATAGATAGGAGGATTGAAATTAGCAAAAGAGGACTTTCTAATCTTCTCTTTCTGTTATCCTAGATGAATAAAAGTTAGATAGTGTACGTTGTTATGCTTTCACATTTTGCGCCAAGAAAAATACAAAGATTTCTCAATATTGGTACATTTCCATTGAAGACAAAAATAAACGTAAACACAATTACATGGATTCTGATTTGCAGACAACAAGATAGAAGATGTATGGAAAATCCTCCATAAAATGGGATAGTATATTGGGTTGTATATTATAAACAAGAAACTAATGAAATTAAGAACCTGCATTCCTTTGAGTTTCATATTTTTCAGACTAAATTATGTGCAACAGAAAAGAAAAAAAATAATTTAGTTTTAAATAACACATTGGAAAGTATTTGCCAAATACTGATTTTCATGCATTTGAAGGGCAAATGTTGTTGCGAGAAATAAAACCAAAGAACCATCTGCTTTAGTTCATTGATCGAAGGAGCATATTTGATGGATATGCAAATCAGACTCTAAAGTACGTTGGAAATTGAAGGTGAAAAAGAATATCAGAAAACGGCCTAAGAGATACATTTACTTGGAGCAGCATAACTAACAGACCCTCTTAAGCCAATGGAACTTGATTGAGTTGCAAAAGAATTATCGGTGTCTTCGGGAAGGAATCTAGCTAACCCAGAATTGCCTACATGTCCAATCATTTCATCATTTAGAAGAACATTGCTTGGCTTCAAATCACAGTGAACTATTGGTTTCGAGCAATGATGGTGAAGATAATCAAGTGCAGAAGCAACATCAACGACAATATTTAACCTTTGTAGGAGGTTTAAATTTCTTGATTCGACATGCACCTCATCTTCATTTTCATTTACATGTAACCAATCCTCTAGGCTACCATTGACCATGAACTCGAAAACCAGAGCTTTGAAATCATTACCATTATAGTCAACACTTGAACATGCTATGAAAACCTTGACAAGATTTCGATGTCTGATGCGCTTCAAGGCCTTACACTCATCAATGAAACTCTTGGAAGCTCCACAGAATTGAAGGTTTAGTACCTTCACTGCAACAACTTTTTCACCGTGATCAAGAATTCCTTTGTAGACTGAACCAAAACTACCCATGCCTATCATGTTGGCTGGAGAGAACCCATCAGTTGCCTTGAGTAGACTTTGGTAGGACAATTTCACATATGACTTCCCCAAAAATCTCAAAGAGGGTACTTTTGTTGTCTTCCTAAAGCGATAAAGATGCAGTAAACACAACACTATTACTAGTCCCAGAAACCCAAATGGTGTGGGGATTATTATTTTCAAGATGAGCGTGAATCTTTTCCTTTTGAATCCCTTGGTATTGCAACTGTGCAAATGTATAGTTTAGGTATACCACTACAAAGCTTGTTGTTTCCCCAAATAGAAATAGCCATTGCATTTTTAAATATGCCTATTTCTGGTACCGCACTGTAACGCCCTCAAAATAATAACAATAAACCCATCAGATAAGACATGCATTTACATTTAAACTAACCGCATTCCTTTCATTCATTAGAATTCCAAGACATAAGTATTAAATATTTATAATTAAATGTTAAATGAAATTTAATAATAATAACATAATACTAATTGATATAGTAGATATATAACACCACCCTTCTTTATATAATATGCATGCATAATGCTATAAATCATTATAATAGATAGTAATTTTTTTAAAGATTAAATTAGATTATAAAAAATTTATTTGAAATATTAAAATTAAAATTCCATTTGTTAATTATATATTTTAATTAAAAAAATTAATATGTTTCTGTGATATAAGCTCTCCTTATTGTTTCTCCACTATTCATATTTGTTGGCCTACTTAATCGCACTTAGTACATTAATTGTTGTTATCACTATTATTGTTAGGTCCATGAAGCTCTTCCCGGGAGCAAATTTAATAGCTTGGTCCTAAATAGGTATAATATGCGTCTTGGCATTCTAATGATGACAAGCTTTACGGACCAACTCTGGAAATCACCTCAGTTTCCTTTGGATGTGGCCGTCAATTCCTATTGAAGAAGTAACCAAGTAAGTCTCAGAGTTCCAGGTACCAAGCTGGGAATCAATCAAATCACTAACCTTTGCATTGTCCGGGAGAGTGGAAGGTGGCAAAATAAAGTATGAGGCCGTGGAACCCATTTGTCATCCTTAACCGAAATGCTCGCACCATTCCCAACTCGCCATCGTAGTCCGGCATTTAGTAAGCTTCGAGAGCTGACTATACTCCTCCAGGTGAAGGATGGGCTGTTTCCAAGCAACACATCAAGAAACGAAGTGTGAGGAAAATACTTGGCTTTTAACACCCTTGCAATCAACGAGTGAGGCTGTTGCACAAGTCGCCAACATTGTTTGGCCAACATAGCTGTATTAAATTCATTAAGGCAGCGAAAACCCATCCCTCCACGCAATTTAGATTTGCACAAATGCTTCCAGTTAGTCCAGTGAATTTTACGGGCTTCCTCCTTTTGTCCCCACCAATAATTGAACACCATTGAGTCAATTTCATGGCACAAACTAGCAGGTAGTCAAAAACAGGACATAATGTAAGTAGGGAGTGCTTGAGCAACAGACTTAATAAGGACCTCGCGACCCACAACGGATAGTAATTTCTCCTTCCACCCATTCAAACGATGCCATACTCGCTCTTTGACAAACCCCAAAACGGATCGTTTAGAGTGGCCCACACAATACGGTAACCCCAAGTACTTCCCGTACGTCGCCATAGAACCCACCCCAAGAATTGATGTGACCTGCTGGGTAACCAAGTCCGTATTTTTGCTGAAACAAACAGTAGATTTTTGGAAATTAATTTTCTGCCCCGATGCTTGCTCATATATTTGAAGGACATCTCGCAACACCCCCGCTTCATCTTCAGTGGCAGCCGCAAACAGAAGACTATCATCAGCAAAAGACAAATGCGATAATCGTGGGCTACTGCGACAAAGAGAAATCCCCAACAACTGGTTATTTGCCATAGCATGTGTGAGAAGCGCCGACATCCCTTCCGCACAAATAGTGAACAAGTATGGCGAAAGGGGATCCCCTGTCAGAGCCCCCGTGTTGGACGAAACAATCTTGAAGGCTTTCCATTAAGAAGAACCGAAAATGATACCGTCGACACACAAGTTATGAGGAGTTTAGGGGAGGCCTCCGCTCGAGCTCCCAATCCCTACGCTCGAGCTCACAACACTGCACAACAAGATACTGGATGGATGTAATCTACGCTCGAGCGCCAACACCTCCGCTCGAGCGTACAGGCCAAAAATCTGGGCAACTAGTTTTGGTTTCTAAACTCAACCAACCTGTAACAAACCCGCTCAACACATCCTATAACTCAAATACAACGTAAGAAAGGATGTAAACAAGATAATAAACAACTACCAACATCCACGGACACATGTCCGGATCACTATACAACAAGGGTAAATCCGGGATCGCTATACGCACCCTCAAAATCATTGAATGATAGATCTAATTTTTGTAAGAAGATAAAGTCCTCTGTATGGTCTGGGATTTTTCCTGAGAAATTATTGTGAGAAAAATCTAATTTCTCAATACCTCTCAAATAACTTAAAGATGAAGGAAGAGTTCCCGAGAAATTATTGCTCTGTATATATAGAAATCTCAATTTAACACAACTACCAAGAGTGCTTGGAATTTTTCCGGACAACATATTCCTAGAAACATCCAATTGTTCAAGATTTATTAAATTCCCAATTTCTAGTTGTATGGACCCAACCAAATGGTTGTCATGTAGGTACAAGTTCAATAATGATGAGAGAGTTAGAACTTGTTTGGGTATGGTACCACTAAGATTATTCCAACCAAGAGCCAGATCTACAAGAGGGCATTTTCCCAGACTTGAAGGAATATTGCCATGCAAATTATTTACTCCTAAATAAAGATACGCTAGTGAAGTCAAATTTTTCAAAGACAATGGAATTTTCCCATAGAATTTATTACCTGAGAGATCCAATTTTTGTAGCTTTTGTAGCCTCCCAATATCAGCAAGAATGTTACCGATGAAATGATTGTCTGCCATGTCCAAAAACTGCAAATTGACCAAATTTGCCATCTTGGTTGGGATGCTCCCACCTATTTTATTATTTCCCAATAAAAGGATATTATGAGGGAGATTTATAATCTGGCTTTGGGCCGTGGTAGAAGTTGGATGGATAGGACCGAGCATGTTGAGGCGAGCTAATTTGGGCCAGTCCAGAGTGGATTTTGCCCGGTTGAGGCTCGAGCCCCCTGTTTAGGCCAAGCTGACTGAGGCTTCCATGGAGTTGATCTTGCTCAGTCGAGGCTTAGGCCCGAGGTCCAGGTCCAATGTTTGAACTGAGCTTACTTGGTCGAGATGACCGCCTGCTAACTCGGGTTCCATGGGTCGCACACGTAGCTCGGCGGGAAATGTCTTCTGTTCACCGGCCGACCTGTTTTGGACTCAGCTCTGTCGGAATGCTTCCGAGCTCAGCTGTTATGGAGCTCGGCGAGCGGAGCACTCAGGCACGTTGCGTAGCACGGTCATGGGAAGCCGAGATGATGTCGCCGGGATGTCGAGCTTCCGCTAATGTAGTCTGGTGGTATGGTTAGGTGGTGATTGTTGGATTTGTGCTGACAGATGGGAAAGCAGCTCCACGTGTCAATAGACCAATGAGAGTAGATTTGAGCGTAGAAAGAATATAAGCAAGACTGCGCCCCCTATACTGAGGATGGAACATAATTTGGTGAGAAAACCTAAACACTCAAGTCAAGATTGCACCCCCCATGCTGAGGATGGAACATAATTTGGTGAGAAAAACCTAAACACTCAAGTCTCTCCTCTCTCTCTCTATCCCTGAGTGTGTGCTAACTTGACCAACGGAGGGGTTTTCCGGCCACCCACCGCTGGGTAGCTCACCGCCGTTGTGTTCGCAAGTCGATCGGACAGATGAGGAGCTTGGACGAAATGAGTACGGACATTGCGGAATATTTGCTCCCCGTACAATTGGCGCCGTCTGTGGGAAGTTTGATAGACAAAACCTTGTCTTCCAAGCTCATCTGATTGCCTTCCATGGTGAACAACGACGAGATACCGTTGTCTGCCATCGACGGTGTTGCCCCGGAGTCAGCCAGACGGAGAGACGGACTCCCCACCGTTCCAAACATGGCGGGCCTGAAGACTTCCCCAGGAGGACATTCAAGAGACGCGCGGGATAAGCGCGGTAGAAGTTTTGGTAACTCTCGGAGCCCAGACGGACACCGACAGCAAAGAGAATCGTACGCTAGGCGTCTGAAGCACAAGTTAAGGGACCAAGATGCCGTCATCCGGAGAATGGCGGCGGAGATGGAAGATCTCAAACGGCATGTCAAAGGGAAGGGTGTTGCTGGAGTGGGAGACCACAGTGAGTGCACCCAACCATGCTATTCAGGCAGTCAGAGCCAGTGGCACACTCCCTCCCTTTCTATCACTAGAAGCTACAGGTTTGGAGAATCCGACGCACCTGTAGAGAAGTCTAGCATGCAAGATAGTACCTATCAACCCTCACGTCCGGCGACGACATCGAGGTATTCCTATTCCGCTCGCTTAGAGGACTTGCGGGCAGTCTTAAAGGAGCGGGCTCGCCGGCGGGAGACTCAAAGGGTGCCGGCGCTCCAGCGGCTATCTTACGGGGGTCGCGCCAGTGAAGAGGTCATAATGCCACCACCCCGCCCAGCCGTGCCTCTGCCTCTAGACACAGATTTGGCGAGGTTGAACGCCACCCCCTTCTCCCTTGAGATAGAAACCACATCGCTCCCCGCGGGCTTTCACCACCCCAAGTTTATGCTCTATGATGGAAAGATCGATCCATACATGCATGTAAGCCATTTTCGGCAGGTCATGGCCCGATATAGGCGCAATCTTTTCGTCGAGTTTAGGCGAGCTGGGCTTGAAATGGTTTGAGAGGCTGCTGGAGGGAAGTATCGAAAGGTGGTAGCAGTTGGCGGAAGCCTTTGTAACTCGTTTCAAGACCAACACTAAAACGCCGAAGGAGGTGGACCACATTTTCAGTGTCAAAATGGAGTCGAGCGACACATTCAAGGCATACAACTCCAAATACTGGGAAACCTTCAACGAGATTTTAGATTGCCCGATCAACCTGGCAATCAACCAATATAAGCGCGGTCTCCCAGTCGGACATAGGCTGCGGGACTCACTTACCATGAACCAGCCGACGTCTATGGGCCAACTAATGCAGCGCATCAATGAGCACATCCAGGTAGAGGATGATGAGGCGGCATCCACCGTGAAGACAACTCCGGTGGTAACAGACAAGAGGTTGGCTGGCAAGGTAGACGCGGTCGGACAGGAGTCTAACTGTCCAAATGATCGCGCCGAGGAATCTGACCGTGGGTCAAATCATCGGAATCGGGAAAGAGGCCGTCGGAATGACCGAGCTGAATACCCCCGCGATGACGTAGTTGATGCAAATAGAAGGTTGAAAGCTTGGATGGGCATCACCACGGTCTTCAAAATTCCAATCTATCGCATACTTAGTGAAACCCGTGACGAGGATTACGTCTGGTTTCCTACTAAGCTAGGCAACGTGCAAAAGGGCTTCAATCCACGGTACCGTTGTACATATCACCAGGAGCGAGGACACCGGACAGAGGACTGTTTGCCTCTGAAGCAACACTTGATGGAGTTAGTCGCAGTCGGACACTTGGATCTTTACATTGATGGGGGTGTTGCGGCCGCACATCCCGCCCCAGTTGATCCGCATGGATCGGATGACTTGGAGGCGCCCCTTCAAGGAGTGGTTAATGTGATCCACGGCATAGTGGAGCCGACGCGTGTATGCGAGCTCCGAGGAATGATCAAAAAGGCTGAACATATGAGGGAAGTTTTGTCAGTCCAGCCCGCAATCAAAAGGGGGAAGACCGAGCAAAAAGACGTGATTAGTTACTCCACTAGGGACCTGGAGCGCATTCAAATGCCACACAACGACGCCCTAGTGGTCACCCTTCTTGTCAAAGAGTTCGATATCAAGCACATCTTAATTGACCAGGGATGTTTGGTTGAGATTATGTACTACGATGCGTTCAAGCAACTCAAACTCCGAGATACAGACTTGGCTCCGGTGACTTTGCCACTGGTAGGTTTCAACTCGCAACCGCAATGGCCCTTGGGAAAAATAATTTTACTGGTCAAAGCCGGAACCGTGATCAAACAGGTGGAGTTCTGGGTACTGCATATGTCGTCTACGTACAATTTGATCCTCGGTAGAGGATGGCTTCACGCTATGCAAGCTGTAGCGTCGACATACCACCAGGTTATGAGATTCCCCTCGACTATGGGGGAAATTGAGGAAATTTGGGGCGATCAAGTCATGTCGAAACAATGCTTCGTGGCAGTAAATGGGAGCCGGGCTGCCAAAGGCTTCGTCCAAATGATCGAAGGACCGGAGGACCAGGGAGTCCTTGAAGGTGTGGGCGCCAAGGCTGAGGACAAAGCTGTTGAAGAGTTAGTAGAAGTGCGGATTGACACGGAAAGTCCGAACAAGTTCTTTTTGCTCGGATCAAGCCTTACCGCCCAAGAAAGGACCGAGATGGTAGAATTCTTGATGGCAAATATCGAAGTCTTCGCATGGTCGCCCTACGACATGCCCGGCATCGATCCAAGCTTTATTTGTCATCACCTCAATGTTTTCCCCGGTACACGGCCGGTCATTCAGAGAACGAGAAGATCGGCGCTGCACCACGCCGAGGTAGTCGCGGAGGAGGTAAGGAACTTGCTTGAGGCACAAGCTATTCAAGAAGTGCACTACCTTCGGTGGATTTCAAACACAGTCGTAGTGCCCAAGAAGAATGGGAAGTGGCGAGTTTGCGTTGACCACAAGACCGTCAACCGAGCTTGCCTTAAAGACAGCTTTCCCTTGCCCCGAATAGACCAGCTGGTGGATTTAACGGCCGGACATAACAGGCTCAGTTTCTTGGATGCCTACCGCGGTTATCATCAGATTGCCATGCATGGCCCCGACCGTGAAATAACCTCCTTCACTACTCCAAGGAGACTCTTCTGCTACCAAGTCATGCCTTTTGGTTTGAAGAACGTCGGGGCAACTTTCCAAAAGATGGTGACCAAAATGTTCGCTCCTCTGCTAGGCCGGACGATGGAGGCTTATATCGATGACATGGTGGTCAAAAGCCGGCATCAAGAAGACCACTTGTCTGACCTAGCCGAGATGTTCACCATTCTCAAACAGCACAAGCTATGCCTAAATGCGTCTAAGTGTGCCTTTGGTGTAGGATCCGGAAAATTCTTGGGCTTCCTAGTCACAAACCAAGGCATCGAGGCAAACCCCACACAAGTCAGAGCCGTACAAGAGTTAAAGCAGCCAAAGTCGGCGAAGGACGTGTAACATCTTGCCGGTATGGCAGCCGCGCTTAACAGATTCATAAGTCGGTCATCAGATCGCTGCCGCCCTTTCTTTCGAGCCTTAAAATCCAAGTTTTCATGGGACGAGGAATGCAACAAGGCTTTGCCCGAGCTAAAGGCGTATCTGTCTTCTGCTCTATTATTGGTGACACCAAAGCCCGGCGAAGAACTCTACCTTTATCTGGCCGTCTCTCAGTATGCAGTTAGCACGGTGCTTGTCTGGTCAGAAGGCATCCAGCATTTTCCCATTTTTTACGTCAGTAAAACCTTGCTACCGGTAGAGTCAAGATACTTGCTGCTGAAAAAACTTGCCTTGGCGTTGATGATGGCCTCAAAGAAATTGGCGTACTATTTTCATGCTCACATAATCATCGTTTTGATCGAGTTCCCCCTCAAAGCCTTGTTTGAGCGGGTCGATTTCTCCGGTCGAATCCTCAAGTGGGCAGTCGAATTGGGACAATTTGACATCAAGTTCCAACCCCGAACTGCCATACAAGCACAGACCTTGGCCGACTTCGTTGCTGAATTCTCACCTGGAATGCATCCAGTATGTTTGGTGGATCTTGCCACGACAGTTGAGGAGGTGAATGCCAGCTCGCCAGAAATTGCACAGCAGGGCGATGTTGGCGACGCGGAATTTGTGCGCCCCGCCATAGAATCTCCAGCCGGCATAGTAC